AGACTGATGAAACAGGAAACATGGTGCCACCTTCCCATATTATCTCACCAGCTGAACTAGATGCTGATGAGATGCTGTTAATGCTGATGCAAAGCTTGGAACTCCATGAGATGAAACACAGGCAGCACCTAACCTGGAGTGCTGACTACCTGATCAAAATGGGCACAGAGACAGGATGTATTGGGAAACCCAGACAGAGGATTGGCTGGGATTGTTTGTGGGTTTTGTTACTTCAGCTCTGTCTAGATTACTTTACTGGGCCCACAGCTCTGGTGTCTAAGTACCTGACAAAGACACTGAGGCAGTTACTGGCATCTTGTGAGCACTGTGCATGAACTTTTAAGAGCAATTTGGAAGATAAAAGGTCTTTGGGTGTGGAGTGTTAGATAGGGAAGGAAGGCCAAGCAAGCAGGGAAGAGGAACGTGGCTGACCTCATCTACCTACAGCATCAGAGGGTTTCTAGGATCTAGTTCAGGATCAAGCGTACTGTTGCCTTCCATTCTTCAATGGCCATTTCACAAACAGTGAATATGAAAGACCTGACTCCGGGGCATTTGGAATGCAGGTTCACATTTTATGGCCTATGTTATCTCTGATTTAAAGGAAATACTTTGATTGAGAAAGGAGAGTTTTCCTGGAAGTGCACAGCTCAGGCTTCAAACAGGGAGATAGGTGATCATGCATGAGGCAAGTTGCTCGCCTAGACAGAGCTTGTGTTACTAACCTGAGCTAAACAGGAGTTGCAGGACTGGAAAGTCATCTGATACGGGGTAAAAAGCTGCTCTGAACAGAAGGTCAACTTACTTCAGATGTTTCTTGTGTAATCCATCACTTACAGGACCACCTCTAAGCAGATCAAATGTCCAGAGTACTTTTGTTATCCCTTATATTTAGAGCTGGTATGAGATGAGTGCTCCTCATCTAAAAAATGCTACATTTACATCTCAATAAAGAGTCACCATGGCAAGAGCCTATGTTTGTAAGCTAAGCCACAATGAAATCACAATTTCCAAAGCAAAAGGACATTACAGCTTCCCTTGAGAGAGCCCCATTTTCCACTCACCAAAACAAAACATCAAGCTTTGATTTCAAGCTACTTCCAAAGGCAGGTGCAAAAACAGGGTCAAGCTGTGCACAGAGTGCAATGCTACAGAAACACAGCTACAGGTTTTCAGTGGACCAAACCTTGCATCAGTAACTCCAATGCACGCTCTTTAGATGCTGTTTGTGTGCTGCAGTACTGCCAGTCAATTTTGACTACTTTAAAAGCACACGCATTTTTAAGGGTATCTTCTAATGGGGAAAAAAGTGTTTAAAAGGAACTAGCACACAACTTTCTATGTGACACATCCTGGCCGCTGACAGTCACCACGCATGCCCCCAGCACCGTCCCTCCTGCTTCAATACAGTCCTGGACTTGCACCTCTCTTTGAGGAAGCCTGAAAGCACATGGAGGAGAACCCAGTCTCACACACTCTCTTGGCTTTCAAAGAGCAAGAACAGACCCTGCTTTAACATCCATTTTTCCTCCATTCCCTGTTGCTTCCTACCTCTCCTCCTTACCACGGCATTTTGCCTTTCTGAAAGGCCTCTATTCCCAGGCTATGCTCCCTGACTCTTCAGGGACCAGCTCCCTCAGGTGGAGCTAACTGAATAGGGACAGCAGAGCCCTAGCTTCTGACCTTTTTACCATCAGGCTCTCTCTTAAGCCTGCAGCCATACTCAACTTAATGCTTCAAATAATGCATTAAGTAGATGTAGGAGTAGTGTACACACCTGTCTGCTCACAGACACGTGAAAAGATTTGGTGGAGAGAAGTTTATTCTGAGGTCTCTGTGATTATATCTTCACTGCAACCTCAAGGCGTGATTGCAGCTCACACACAAATCCCTAAGCTTCAAACAGGCTGGCTTCAGCTCAGACACCCACTAGCTATTAAACACAGGTTTCACAGTTTGGACCCTAATTAAATGCCTACTTGCTGAAAACCCAGGCGGTAGCCTTGATGCTATTTGTACCTCAAGACAAATTCCCACTGCTACCACAACTAGCTAGACTAGAACTAAAGTGTAGTACAACCTTTTTTTGATGGCCAGGTAAACATTCCCTGTCTTATATGTAAAAAGAGGCAATCCTGCTCTTTATGTATTGCTAAATGAGTGGTGATATCTTGCTTGAAAAGGTTGACTTCTCAACCTTTCAAGTAGCTTCCTTAATGTACACAGACTTTCCTTCTGCAAAACTAATTTCTACTGTTGCATGATATGACAATGCACACTGATGAAATAGTCTGCTTTGGTTTTGAAATAGCGTTGCAAGACTAAAAAGAATACAGCAGCTAGAGAAATCAAAACAAGGATTTCCAAAGATCTGCTCACAATGGCATGCAAGACACTTCCGACCTAGAAAGCATTGAAAAGAAACACTTCATGAACTCTGTTCACTGCCAACACCCACTGTGGCATGACTAGAAAGGGGTTTCCCTGAGTAATAAAGAGCAGCACTGTGCAGAGACAAATCCAGCACAGCAGTTCAAGCCAAAGATCAGAATGAGCCAGGGTTCCAGGGCCCGGTATTGCGATCATCCACAGGCCATAAAACAGCCACATGTAAGTGGCTACCACAACCCCAGAGTAAGTTCAAAGCCTTCACAGACATGGATAGCCTCAGAGACAGGAGAGGGCTCCCACTGTCTGCTCATACTGAAAGGTGTCTGGGTGAAGGCTCATTTCGGAGAGTTATGTTTGAAATGGAGTTCAAAACCGTAAGGATATACACCTGTAGTTCTGACACTGAACAGGACTT